ACATGAATCATATTCCATCACATTGACTCACGTTTGTAATATGGCCTCTTTGTCCCTCTGAGCACAGCACTCACAGGAATATCCTGCTGAGAGACCTTCAATTGCTTGTTTTTGTATTGGTAAGAAGTGCAGTATGGAGAACATCATAAGCACCACGAAAGCTCAGACTGAAGAACAACTATTTACCCCAGAAGAATCTAGCTCACAACCTGCCAGCTGCTACAGCCACCCCTTACAAAAAAAAAAAAAAACGTGAGAAGATTAATTAAAAGACAGTATTCTGTCTTAGAAATGGGACTTAGAAAGGGGATCTCCCTGTTACACATCTATGCCGAAGAGGAGCAAGGAGTCAATGACAAGAATTGTAAGGTGAATCCTCTGGTGGTATGCGCTTACAGCCCAGTCCTAGATCAGTAAGCAGAGGTCAGTGGAGGAGCACATTTGGCCAGCATCCTCACCTTCACAAAGCATGAGAATGCTCCATCTAAAACGGAGATTAATGAGCTGTGTGACTGGTTTGAAAAGTAAAAGCGAGGTGAACTGTGCTAGGACACTAAGTTCATTTTATAAGACCTTTTACTTCAATTTCTCAGTCTGCCAGACACACCAAGTGTGAGCAATGCCAGCCTTAGGAAGCTTTTACAGATGTTTAAATGACAGACTCTGGATACTAAACGTTTCAGGACAAATGTGCAGAAGACATAAAAAGAAAACACTGTTATATATCCCCTCAAAATTTTCATATATTTAATTTCTGGTGAATGAGCAAATCTTTTAAAAATTTTTTTTTTGCTCTCAAAATAGGAGAAGGAAAAGAGGAGAAAGAAAAAGGCAGAGAAAGAAAAGTCAGTGACTGATAAATCTTTAATATAAAAATTGTACAAGAATTTTGATACAAATTACAAGAGGTATTTGGACAAAGAATGAGTAGAACTCCATTTATATCCCCAAAACCTTATGCATTTTATGCAAAAGACATACCGTAGGACAGTTACAGTACAGAAAATACAAGAAAAGAAATGCCAAATTAAAAACAGGAGTTTTAATTCCCTCAGACTACTAATGGAAAAAACTTGTTTAGAGTACATACAGTATTTATGAAGCTACCAATGTCACGATTATTAGATCAACATGATGCTGTTTTTCATATCCCCTTGTACAGCTATGTTCCATAGTGCATGCTTTGGTTCTGCAGGCAGGACAGCGGAGCATTCACCTTTTGCTCACACGGAAAACAAGCAGTGAAAATTAAACGCCTCATCCGCTCCAGATGGAGAAAGGCCCTTGCAAAAACATTCACTGGGCCCTGCTCCCCACGGCCCTGTGCCCATGCGGTGCTCAGCGACACACTGTGACGCTGCTGACATGAGAATCTCTGCAGGACAGCAGTGAGCTTGCTGTCCTCCCGCTGCAGCCCGCCTCCCGCCACTGACTCAGCACAAGAAACGCGGCGCTGCGTGGCACCGAGCTCGCAGTACCGCTGTGCTGAGGGGACCCGCCCAGAAGGGGGGTTTCCAGGCGTTTTGTCTCTGCAGCCAAACCCACTACCAGCCCGCTGTGGGTGACCAAATGCACGAAGGTTCAAATCCAGTTTTTCTCAGCTTACATCTCTGTGCTGACCCCCAGCCAGGTCCTGATCTCTCCAGCTCCACAGCAGGTGGCCGCAGGGGAAACTGCTACGTTTCCCAGCCCATGTATGTGACCTTCTCAGCCAAAGCTGTTAAAACCACTGCTGTGTTGATGAGCAAGTGCCCTCAACAAAACAGAGAAACTCCAAGCCTCTTTGGTTGTGGGGATGAGCCCACTACAATGAGTCAGAGGTGTAACAGGTTATGGTGACCTGCTCACGGGTGAATAAAAATATGTGGAGGTTTGGCCGGGGTAAATTTTGACTGTGCTCAGGGGTCAGGTTGGCCTGTTTCCACACCTGTTTCACATGCACTGAACTGGGACATGGAGCCCTTCTTGCAGACAGGAAGAGAGGCAGGAGGCATGGATGAGAACACAGACATGTCCCATTGAAAAACTGCTGCATTATGGAAAGTAGCCCCATATGACGTAAGAACCAAACTTTGCACAAGAAAAAGCAGCATGCTGAATTTCATATTTATAAATAGCTAAATGAGACACACACACACACAACAGTGGCCATTTTATTCATCTCGTCACTTTACAGACAGTGACCATTTTCACAGATGGAATGCATAAGACTTTCCAAAATGGAGAATATCAGGAGGATGTGCTACTTTTCTGAAAGAAGTTTTATAAGAGATTCTCTTAGAATGAGAGAAGAGATGGAAATAGATGAAGAAAATGAGAAAACTAAGACAATGACTGAAGACCATACAAGATTTCATAAAAAATAAAGACAATGAAAGAAATCAAAATGTAAAAATACGGTCTGAAAAAATAACAAGTAACTCAGACTTAGCTTGTACAGCTTAAGTGGCCCTATTAATTTTCACAGGTCATCAAACAGACCAAGAGGAGTAGGGCCAGGATCCAAGGGCCTGTGGCTGCAGAACCATTCCACCACCAGGCAGCGGGACATGGTCCAGAGCAGGGCTGTGGGGATGTGGAGTGCGATGACATGGGGACATGGGGATGCGGGTACACAGGGACATGGGTACCTGGGGGCACAAGGACAGAGCGCCCATAACTGCTGCTGGCTGCTGGCAGGAATATGCACCACTCCCCAGCTGGGATGCGGACACACGGCTGTGCCACAGCTCCCCCAGAGCCGCAGTTCACAGTCTTGTGCGTTCCGTAACAGGAGCGGACAGGTTGTGATTAACTATTGATGAGTTTGCCATCCTAACTGCGCATTATCCTCTGATCATTCCCAACCCTTTGTTTGACAACGGATGCCTTATAAAATCTTTATGCATCACTTAGCTAGTCTCGCTCTCTCTTTCTTCTCTAGAAATATAATTGCCCTGGATGCTTTCTTCCATTTTCCTGAAGTATTTTTCTCCAAAGGTTTGAAGAGAGTAGCATATGAAATCTGTGGAACATCTGAACAAGCCTCTCTACACATTAGACATTTGCTTGGTCAAGCTTCTTGTGTTATTAGATGTTTAAGAAGAAACATATGTATCAATAAATGTATAAAAATGACATAATTTTGCCCCTTTATAACTCTCATTTGACTGTCATTATGTTCTCTTTCCACTTTCTGTCTGTCTCTCACAAGCATATGTACAAGGGAAGGACACAAATGGTTGGTTTGAGTGGAAGAGACCTGGTTTCCACTACTAGCCCCAGAAACAGGGAAGAGCAGGACAGCGGAGCTGACGGCTCTGGCCTTAGTGTTCAACCCACAGGTGTGAGCTTGTGAGAGAGCACAGCCTGAGCTCAGCCTTTACACCTCCAACACAGGCACCACTCCCTCCTGCACCAGGCCTCAAGAAGTTGCCTCCTGACTTCAGCCCTTATAACTTCTGATGCACGTGGAGGGAGGGGAAAGGAGGGAAAAGATCACTGGCCATGATCTGACTGGTAGAAGGCCTTGGCATACTGTAGTGGGTACCATCACCTTTAATGTAATTACCACGCAACCCTGGAAAGAGATTAAGCACTTGGACCAGGAAATAGGAAATACTGTCCACTAATGTAATGAATCACCTAAAAGTATGAAAAGTAACAAACTTCCAAAAGACTGTGTTTAGGTCTTCCGGGCCTGGCATAGTTCTCTAAGCTGCTTCTTTATGTATTGCATGGGCAATACCAGTTCAGTCCATGCTGAGCAGCGCTCAGAGTACCAATGGAACTTGGTACTACAGTCCTAGCACAGAAATCCTGCTAGCTGAGTGAGGAAAGCAGGTCTCACTGACTCCTCAGGCTACGTGATCTTCCAGCGACTGCTGGAGAGCCAGTGAGTGGCTCTGACTGACCCACATACCATATGGAGGAAGGGAGGTGGTGGGGCCGGCACATGCACCTTTCACGCATGCAGGACTTCTTCAGCAGGGTGCATGCTCCCAAGCCGCTTCCCCTCTCAAACTCTTCCTCTCCTCTTCCTCCCTGCTTTGTCTGAAAAGCAGTGCTGGAGTCTGTGCTTTTGGCAGTGGTCTTGTTAATGAAGAGATAAATCAGAGCGGAGCGAATTCCTCCTTGTATAAGGGCAGAAGATTGTGTCTCAGATACATCTCCCTAACACTTCACAGAGGTTCACACTGACCTCAGCAGGAGATGTTCCTGTCACAGCAGAAAGAATATCTGGAATTGGCATTCACCATTGGAATTTGAGGGAATGGCTTTGCTCTGAAATTTGCCGTGGGATGGGCTAAACCGGAAGAAGATAAGATTACATGTCCTGTTTGCTGCTAAACCCACAGTCAGACCTGCAGCGAGTCTGCACGTCTATTTCCAGCAGGTACAGTATGGCTTATGCCAATACAGAGCAATTAGTTGCTACATAAGCAGACAAAAGTGCCGTCGCAGACAGCATTTCTCAACTGACCTTTTGTTAAGAAGCCATCTTGTTACTGTCTGCTTGATAGCTCGATAGAGCAGCCAGTGGCAGCCTTGGGCTTCCCAAAGACAAATCGAAGCTCTCCAGATGGGACTTCCCTTCACTCACTGCAGATGTGTGTGTGTACATGTGCGTGTGTGTCAAGGAACAGGGAGGGAAAGCCTGGTTCTTATACTCAATTTCCCCTTCACAGGGGATAAACAGGCAATTACGCATCCTTTTATATTTGATGGCCAAGTGCTGAACTTGAAAGCACACTATTAGTTTGTGTCCCTTCAGGGCCAGTGCAATAAGTAGCCAGGAGAGCTGGGGCTAAGCAAGAGAGGGTGTTGTCTGCTGTTAGTGTGACAGTCTTGTCAGCAGCATTCACATTACTGGAAGGTAATAAAGTGACAAGTAAGTTATTAGAAAGATATGAGGTGAAATTGAACTGAAGCATCGTGCTGCTCAGCTAGTTGGTTTTTTTTTTTTTTTCCTCTTTGTAATGGGCCACTATTTGTTACAAACCAAGCCTTGTCTTGAGATCTTATATAAAAAAAGAAATATTTATTCTTTGCAGGAAAGGTCACATGAATTTACAACACCACACTTTAAAGGAGAGGAATGGGAAAATAGTTTTATGACAACTACAGCTGCTATTAAAAAAAAAAATACAGTGTCATCATAATGAACAATAATACTGGCAAAAGTCAGAGGACTTGTCAAAAACATGTCCATTTTTTAACCCTTCCATGGCCAAGAAATGCTTTCTTTTCAGTGCCAATACCGAACATAACAGCAACAGTATTGAGATATACATGTTCAATATAAAAATCAAAGCTGTCACTCAAACTGTCATTCAAGATCATGGCTTGACTGCAGAAAACAAGCCACATGAAGACTAGTTAACTACCGATTCAAGATAATATTACTCATGTAAAAAAAGTTGCTGCTTCAGTCTGTTGCAGGCCATTTCAAAGGCAGTGATAATGCTGCTTGGCAAGAAGAGACAGAAATCGTGGGACTGGAGCAGACATGTACTTGGGCAAACATGTGGGTGAAAGGTTCAGTCCATCATATGATGTTGCTCTAAAGAAAAAATGGGTATGGAAAAGAGTTCCTTTTATGTCCCTACAGGAGGGGGAAAAAAACCCAACTCATCATGTGGCGACAGCAGGATATGCTGATGCTTATCTTGCAAAGTAGCAGAAGAGTCACTGTTTTGTTGAGTTACTATAGTAGCAAAGTAGTGACATAAGAAAACAAATTTAAGAAGGAACTGGACATATACCAGCTGCCATAATGTGTCTGCCACTCACCTTCTCCTCACAGAGAACTCCTGCTGCCTCCTTGCTCTTACTATAGATGCTTTTGCTGTTTTTTTGTTTTTGTTTTGTTTTGTTTTGTTTTGAAATAAAAATGAATAATTCTGTTAATACAACCCAAAGAGGAGTGACATAAACATTCTTGGGATGAAGAAGGACTAATAATTATCTTCACGTGACTTGCACCTAACATTTCAAGGAGCACGTGTGCATTTCCCTCCCTTATTCCTTCTCTGGTCACCAAAGATGTGAAAATGTTCTGCAGAATCTGAGTAAAAATATATTCTTAAAAGATGCCGTGTTTTCTGATGGTGGCAGAGATTCCTAACAATCCTGTGAAAAACAGGACTAAACCACATGCTTTCATGTTAAATTACCAAATGCAAGGAAAGAGAAAACTTTGGAACTAAATCTCAGTCTTGTAAGTGGTTCCTGTCTTTGGAACAGATTGAACCATGTATCATTACATTTCTGATCTTTTCAGATAATCACACAGCTCTTTGTCTTGCTGTTTAGGCACATTCCTGCCCCACATAATTAGCTATGCTAGATCCTTAACTGGTTTAATTGAGAAGCCTAAAACTCAGAAAAAACTGAAGTGGATGCCTGCAGTCTCATTTCCTATGAGCCAGACTGGACTGGACTGACAGAGGTGCTGGCCTCCCCTGGCAGCTGCTCTCCTGTTCCATACCTGACTTGTTTTTCCTAAAGCTCTTTTTTGGGGATGAAATGGGAAATGCAAAGGTGATGGAAAATATAAACATTCAGAATAAGCAGAGAAAGAAAGAAGGCAGGAAGGCAGGAAGGCAGGAAGGCAAGAAGGCAGGAAGGCAGGAAGGCAGGAAGGCAGGAAGGCAGGAAGGCAGGAAGGAAGGCAGGAAGGAAGGCAGGAAGGAAGGCAGGAAGGAAGGAAGGAAGGAAGGAAGGAAGGAAGGAAGGAAGGAAGGAAGGAAGGAAGGAAGGAAGGAAGGAAGGAAGGAAGGAAGGAAGGAAGGAAGGAAGGAAGAACGGAAGGAACACTGTAGTTTACTCACAGCAAATATGGTGGACAATTTCTGCTATGTAAAGTATGTGGGAAACACAAACTTTATGAACCTAGGCGTGAAGAACCTCTAAGTACTGTGCTAACTTTCTAATCCATACTTTCCAAATTGTATCAAGTTCAATTGTGACTCAGTGGCAGAGTGCTTATAGTTTGTACGTGCTACTGCAGTGTCACCATGGAGCCAGATGCAGTTTAAGAGACAGTTGAAATCTCAGCCATAACAAAATGTATCTGATTGAGATATAGGAGAGCTGCTCTGAAATTAAGGCCTCCTATTTCATTTTGTTGTCCCATGATGTCAGATGTGGATGTTGATGTTATGCCAGTGGAGACTGAACCTTCCCACCAATATTCCATCACATGTTGTTGGTGTGTGACAGATGGCAGCAGAGGCGCAGTCTGACAGAGTGGCATCTGACATGGAAGTGCGTATGAAGCAAAGGTGTGTCACTGAGTTTCTCCATGTGGAAAAAAATGGCACCCATTGGCATTCATTGTTGCTTGCCAAACGTTTATAGAAACCTAACAGTTCATGTGGTCACAGTGAGGTTGTGAGTGGTGCATCTCAGCAGTGGTGACAGCAACAGCGGGTCACTTCTGCTGGTGCAGATTTTTACAAGCCTGGCAAAAATGCGTAGCTAATGACAGTAGCAGTGTTGAAAAGCAGTGTTCTGCAGCTGAGAATCTGCTCTATCATCAAATACTGCTATTGTGTTCTTTGAATTTGTTGTAGTTTCCAGGGAAATAAATAGGAGGCATTATTTCTGGAGCAGGGAAACTGACTAAATATGGTAAGGTGTGCAAAAATATTAAATTGATATAAATTAGTTCTTCAACAATTTGGTTTTAGACTAAGATCATATCTGTGATAGCTGTATTTTAACAGAGAAAAACACAAACATTTGTGAGATATGATCTGTCAAAAACTAAACAGTGAGAAGGGCCACCGCTATTGTGGATGTTCAAGTCCTGGTTCCCATTCTTGTACTAGTACTCTGCTATTTTCCTTCTAAATTATTTGATACAGTTTTTCAAAAATTACTTGGTAATTAACTGGCATCACACACTTTCTTAAAAAAAAAAAGAAAAAAAAAAAGAAAGAAAAAGAAAAAGGAAAAGAAAAGCTCTCTGAAAGAAAAAAAAATGCTTAAGAAGAAAGTAATTTTGATTCCAGAAGAGATTCAGTATGTGGAGTTATTTACTTGAAGAAGACAAATCCTGTTTGATATTTACAGAAAAATACGACTATTTTGAATGAAAAAAACCAGTAAAATAATGTGAAAACCATGTCAGGAATAACTATAGGAACCAAACAACAAAGAACCTATTTCATGTAAAACGAAGAGTCTCTATACAACTCAAATTCCTCAAATTCAATCTAATTCTTGTAAGAAAAATAAAAATAGGACTGGCAAATTTGAAAACTGAAGGACTAGCCATGGGATTATGATGGCACAAGCAACTGTCCAACACTTGTCATCATCACATCGTTACAGTCATGCCTTGTGCTGCATTAGTGGGAAGTTTAGTCTTCGTGCTTGTTGCAGTGTGGTTCTCTGCTGAGATCCCCTAGGAATGCTAGATATTTTGTTAATTTTATTAGTAAAACCAAACTTCTACCATCCAGCTCTTTCTTCATCCTTGTTCATATAATTTCAGGGAATACAAATTCTAACACAGGAACGCTTCTGACAAATACAGATTTTCATGAAGATGCTTGGTAAATAGGATGGACTGAAATACCACTCAATTATATAATAGTTTGTGTGCCCTCCTAAAACCTGACATTAGTGTCTCTACCGCTGAAAAAGCACTTTGAGTCATTTAGAAATGACAGAGGGAAATATTCTGTCCATAATAAAATTCCTACTTGCCCTCATAGGGCTTAAGCATAATCTGAATGAAATTTAGGATGCCATAAAAGAAGGACTGCAGTTTTTGAAGGTTTGTGCCTGCTCTTTTACTTTTTTTAAAAAATGTTGTTTGATTTTCTGTAATAAACAAATTTTTTCCTATGTAAATAATCTGCTGAATTTATCTACAGATGATATTTACTTTTCCAAACAATTTTTCCAAAATCATTTGACCTCTAACAGAAAGAGAATGAAATGAGAATGCAGAACCATTCAGTGAGGAATTATTTATATACCTCAAGTGATTTTGATTAAAAACAATATTTATTTATAGCATACATAGTTCAAAACAGTTTTGTTTGTTTGTTTGTTTGTTTTCTGTTGTTTTGTTTTCCCTGTAGAAATCATTCACTTTTTTGTCATATTGGTTTTTAGACTTTCTGTCTTAGTTCCTAGTAGCCTGGCAGGAGGGACAGGAGTGCAGTGCAGGTAACCTTACAAAAGATCAAGTGTTTTAGAGGAATGCATCTTAACTATGCTAATTTTCCTCTGTCACTAACACATTGAGCTTGCACAACGTAAAACAAAGCAAAGCAGATCTCTAGATTCAATTTAACAAGGGAAAATAGTAGAGACTTCAAGGAAAAATAAAAAAGATGAAAGAAAAACAGTTAGTGAAACGGCCTTGCTTTTGCTATAAACTTTTTTTTTGTTAAACCAGTGGGTAAAGTTTCATTATAGTTTCTGTGGGATTCACAAAAGTTTTCTGGACTTCACCAGTACACAGCATCAAAAAATGATCACAGGCTTATAACCCACAGAAGCACAGTGAGAATTACCTTAGAAAGATTTTTCTCTTCTTCCTACAGCTGAAAATACTGATTTATTAGCTATCGATTGCTGCTTTTGGAAACAAGAGTACAGAAATGCATAAAGAGTACTGTAAAAGAGGAAATCCATATTAAGATGTTCCTCTAGAAAAATGTAACAGGAGTAAGTACTGATGTGGACATAAAGATAAGAATGATCAAAATGCACAACAAATAAAAACAGCCACAAGCTGAAGCATAGGAGCATTTCTGACTCTGGGCTAATATTCTGGGTCAGCGAGTACAGAAAAGGAACACATTCTCAATGATCAAATATTTTATTGGATGCTGAAATATCCCTTATTTTGCAAGTTTTTGTTTTGCTATGTTTTTGCTTTTTTGTTTGTTTGTTTGTTTTGCTAGTGTTTCTGTAAAGAAGAGTCTACAACAATGGTTTTGGCTGTAGACTGAACGTAAGTAAATACAATCACTCAATCAGTATGTTGTGGTAATGCAGCCTGCCAGTGTGGTTTACCAGCTCAAGCAACATGTGTAAACAGCGGAAACAAAAACGATTCAGAGGACAGCTTCTCATTCTCTCTGTCTTTCCCAATGGCTAGCTCCTTCTCCCTTTCCTGCCCTTGCTCTCTCTCTTGCTGGCTCTATTTCTTGGGCTTTGATTCTTTTCTGACAAACCATGTGGGTGAAACACAAAACATTAACACAACTAGAAATCCTTTTTTTCTGATCTGCAATTTATCCAAAGGGAAAGTTACCCAATAAAAATTCCAGCATGTGTTCTCAGAGCTTCTAAGTGCTTCTGCCTTTAACATCTTTTGATTGCTTCTATAAAACATGCCTTAATCATACTACAGAACTTTCCATTGCAAAAAAAGACAACTTTACAGAACAACATAGTTAACATAGTTAACATTATTTCCCTGTTCCTTTTTTTTTTTTTTTTTTTTTAAACACCACAAAAAATCCAGGCCATAGTAAGAAGCACACAAAATTATATTCATCTTTGTTCCGTGACAAGTAGTATCAGCATTTATATCCCCAAATATTATGCATGTTCAACAAAAAAAAAGAGTTTACACCAATTCACGTGACACAATTCTGTTTTTTTCTTTCATGTAATGCATTATATACGGAATGAGGATGCTCTATTGTTTCTAGTAATAGTTGGCACTTGAAAAAAGCACCAAGAATTCTGTATTTCACTTTACCCCGTTTCTCTCCTCAGTATTTTTTACTGTAGTCCAAAAACTACAACTGTGGTTATGGTGAATAAGTAACTACATTTTCTTTTTTTCAAAATGTGTGCAAAGTTGGCACTTTTGTATTAACACTAAACACTAATACTCTTTGTTTGGCATTCATGCCCTCATACTGACCAGACCACTTTTATCTAAGTGTATTTTTTTAAAGACACTTACTGAAAGTATGGCAATAGTTTAAGAAAAAAAAAGCATGGATATTATTACACATCCCCTCGTAGTGTACGAAAAAGTGCATGACTGGATTTATGTAATAGTACAAGACAAAAAAATGGTATCAGATCAGGTACTGTAAAGCATGCCAGCACCTCTGTATTACTTATATCTAGCAGGTAGTTAAAACAAGACCGTGGTTCTTTTAAAAATGTGCATTAAAGCTAACATAAATGAGTAGAACTAGCCAGCAAACTATTTTTCCTGCTTATCTAACAGCTGAATGTAACTGTAAAAATTAAGCCAAAAAAAAAAAAAAAAAAAAAAAAAAAAAAAAAAAAAAAAAAGAGTTAAACCACCATCAATACAATTGTTTTACATCATAGGCCTGTCAAGGCTCAATATATATATACAAGTGTAACAGCCATGCTTAGTAGAACGTTATCCCCAATGCTTAGAAGACACAAAGACAACTAAGTCGATTTTTTCTTCCTTTTTTTTCTTTGCTTTTTTTTTTTTTTTTTTTTTTTTTTTTTTTTTTTTTTTTTTTTTTCAGGTGAAAATCAGAAAATCATGGGTAGAACAAATTGTCTCTTTGGAGATGACCAAGAACATTCTAACAGAACTAGGGATAACCGCAAGTTTTCTGTGGGTTTGTTTTCTGTTTTTGTTTGCTTTTTTTTTTTTTTTTTTTTTTTCCTTGAAGGATATCTTACCCTAGATTAAAGATCCCACCTTTTTGTTTCTATCCCCCCCCCCCCAAAAAAAAAGAAAAAAATAAACCAATGACCAACAAAGGGAAAAAAGCACCTGGTGTTTCTTTCTTTTGTTAAAAAAAGAAAAGAAAAAGATTATATATATATGTATATTTTTATATATATATATATATATATCAAGGGAGGCTGTATATGGCAGTTCAAATGTGGTGGGCCCTCTCTGAGAGCTGACATTATGCTGTGTCCATCTTTGAACTAATCTACTGAAGTGAAGGGAATGTTTTTATGTAGGTTGGGATTCTGACTGTGCCGGTTTCGGCTACGGACAGAGGAGAACATCATGTTGCACCCAGGGACTTTGCATTTGTGCATCTCTCGCAAGTGCACTGTTTTATAGTGAACTCTGAGCGTTCCCTTGTTGCTGTACATTTTGTGGCAAATATTACACATTATCCCACCGTTGCTCACCGAAACACTGTTGAACATGAGGGATCCTGGGACATCAGTGCCCATACCTACAGCTAAGGCAGGGGCATCTGCTTTGTGGGCAGATTCCCCGCTGTCACTTGCCCCATCGACGTCATCCAGGAGAATGCCCTCATCACTTCCTGCATCAGATTCTCTTGAGGAATGGATACTGCTGCTCGACTGGATGCTGGAGGTGGTGCTCAGGTCTAGAACCATATAGTCTTCTGACATGACCCTGCTGTACCCATTCATATGGGAATCCTCAGTACCAGCAGGCGAGGAGGTGTCTTCCCTTATGTCAAGCCCCATTTGATGCTGAGCGCCATATATCTTCACCAAAAATTCATCACGAAGGTCCTTACTAAGAGAAGGCTGTGAGGAGTCCAGGCCCATGTCATCCAGTTCTTTGGTCAACAGTTTACGGTGCAGGTTTATATTAGCACTGTGTCTGGGAAAGGAAGAGGGAAGGGAAGAAAGGAAAAATGTACAGTATTTTTGATTAAAAGTACAATCGCCAAGCACCAAACCAAAATTTTGATTTAGCAATAGCATACAAATATCCCCTAGTTGTTCTTCTTGTTAAATTCAGGCTTGTTAAAATTGAACAAGTCCATTGGACAAAACAAGTCAAGCAAAATAAACCCCCACTTTTCAGCTGCTGCTCCTCAACATTAGACCCCAGCAGCAGCTACAGCCCTTATATCTGATATTTCCTAAATTATAAGTCAGATTAACAGAAAATGCAGTGCTGTTCTCAATCCCTGAACCCCCCACAGGTCTTCCTAAAAATCTCTCTGGAGAAAATAGTGTTAATATCTGGAGTATCTGTGTACATTTATACCTGTATCTCTATATCTCTACATCCATGCCTATACCCAGATCTTTATATATTTATACATATATACATATAAATATGTAATATACATACATATGTATTCACGTAACTGTGTAAATGAAAGATAGGAGGAAAAAAAAAAAGCAGATAACTGAATGATACATAGTCAGAGGTCCTGATTCTGATAATTTAATTCTGGTGTAAAGGGATTCAGAATCAGGCCAAACCATCATGGAGAAGACTTGAAGGGTTTAGGAGAACAAGTCTCTGAAATTCACATGTAAGTTTAGCCAAAGTCACTGGTTCCATCCTTCTGGGAGGACACTGCCAGTCCTCACTGCATTCTTCCCAGTACAGTGCCTGATATAGTGTTGAATGACCCAAGCAATGTAATTTTCAGAAAAACAACAAACAACAAAAAAGCTGATGGCAATCAAAATTTTGCCCCAAATCAATCAAAATGCTTAACCATGGGCTTTGGCTTAGGTATGTGCTGAAGTCAATATGAGTGCTCGAGAGACACTGGAAAAGCTGTCACTGACGTCAGTGGTCTTTGGACCAGATCCCAAGAGCTGCAAGTTAAAATATTCTCAAGTGTTTTGCAGGATCAGGGCCTTTGTTCTCAAGAAGTAAAGCTACATATTTGCAAACAAACATAAGCCTTTGGGTTAGTAACTGTGTAAAACAGCGTATTATTTTAAATGCTGCATTCTACTCTCCACTTTTGACACTGGCTTTATTTATCCATTGCAGTAGAACCTCACTTATTTGCAGTAGTGGCAGGAAACCCTCTTTCAAAAACTGCATTTTCTAGATTAAGAATGCAACCAACAAACACAGTCATCAAAGACCTCTGACCACAGAACATGCTCTTTTTGTCAAAGTGCTTAATGATGAGAAATCAGTACAAAGTTTTCAATATTAGAAAACTTTAGGGTTCAGTATTCAGAATGTGCACCATTACTGAGGAAACGACAAATATTTATTTAGCTTCTTTGGAGGGTGACTGAATTTTCAAGTCAGTAACAAAAGAATTAGCGAAGTTCTACTGCGTAACATTCTTTGCAAGCTAAGGACCCAAACCCGCAATTTACAACATGCAGACTCACCAGTCTGTCTGCCCATTATAAATTGCAGATCAGAGCCCAAATGTAGGAAGGAAAGGAAAGAAGGGATGGGGGTGGGGAAGAGAGAGAGAAAGAGAGAGTTTTAACACAAGAATAATTTGCAAGAAAGCACTAGGCATAAAATTGGCACTGGAAAACATAACAATGATTAAATATTTTACAGACATTTAGATCCTACTGTAATAAAAAAAAAAAGGGAGAAGGGAAACAATAGCTATTAGCGGTATTTCCTTATCAGTAGCTTTTGTTTTAAGAAACCCTTGGAAACATACCTCTCAACCAGCTGAAGTCCCAAACACGGTACAATATAGATTAACAAGGAAAACGTAAACGTAGGCAGATTAAATATATCCAGAGTACATTTTTATGTCACTTATTCTGTGATTCATCTATCTGTTGATCATAATTTATAGTAATAAATAAAGATAAAACAATAGAGGTGAGCCATCCCGCTCACCTGCAAGCGCAGATAACTTTTCTCTGACATAAAACTGATGTTGAAGTGCAGTTTAATTCAATCATTTCTGCTCGGGATGCAATTATTCTAGTGCAGGAGGTATATATGGAGAATTTCTCTCCTAAAGTGAGACAGTTGAGAGGTATGGGCAAGGGCAGAGAAAAAAGTGGAGAGCATTCCTTGTTTCTTTTTATTTTTTTAATTTTCCCACATGGGAAACATTCCTTTCACACAAGCAAATATAGCACCATTGCTTTTTTGAGGCGCAGAACTGTAATTATGCATATTCCCACACTGAGCTGAGCTTACCTTGTGATAAGATCAGCTTTCTAATCTTTTGCTAAATTGAGATCACAAAAGAGAGAGAGAAAGAAGAGAGAAGAGAAAGAAAGAAAGGAAGAAAGAAAGAAAGAGAGAGGAGAGAGAGAAAGAACAAATTCACATTCCAATCCAGACATATCTGGTTAAAAAAAAAAAAAAAGACAAATGAAAATAATATCTGAAACCAATAAAATACAGACTTTTAAAAAGTCTTGATTGTGAAACTGTTTTTGTCAGCTGTAATCTCACTTACACTGTCGTCCTGATGGATACTGACTCAACCACACAATATGAAAAACATAAAGCAAATTAATCAAAGCATATTCACAGCATCCCCATCATCATCCGCAAATGAGTTCTAAACAGATGCATGCAGAATGCACATACATGAATGATAAACAGTAGTCCTGACAGTCCCTTGCCTTCCTGGTGTCAGATGGCATAAAGCTCCAAGTAAAGTTGCTCAGTGCTGCACAGGAAATGCTTACTGTGAAGGCCTGTCCACACTGACCGTTATTATTACATGACCATAAAAGTGTATTTGTGCTTATCATCATAATGCTAACTGCAAACTACTCATAAAGTGCTCATGTATTTACTTCTTATGATTTCTCCCCCTCTCCCCTCCTCACTCCCCTGCTACATCAATTTTCTGCAGTGTAGTGACTAGTCAGAATAGCTATTACTGTTATTTCTCACACATTTGCGCTTACTTTTTCCATAGTTTGCTGCTGAGAAGAACAACAGCCAGCCGTGAAGTGAAAATAACTTCAGCACTCACTGAATTAAGAGATAAGAATAAATTATCATGTTGAAGAGGGGCCACTGAGCCCCAGATGGACAGAGACCATTCTGAGAAAGACCAGTGTAAGGATGCAAAGCCTGCCGATGCTCTGATAAGGAGAGATGCCTCCCTTATTCAATTCTCACTTACAGCAGTGGCAATCAGTAATCTAATTAAAGTATGTACCAGCCCATAATATCTGTCAGGCAAACGATGTGCAGAAATGTGTGGACAAGTTCTGGCACTCTGCTCAGTAGTGTCCCTTTTCCGCTGTCAGCAGTACTGTTGGATTCTTCTAATATAATTACATTGACTTTTATTCAATTAAGTGCCATTCCTAGTCTTAAAAAAAAACCTACTTTATCAATTGATTCAGGTATAATGCAATAATAAAGATGAACTCATGGCAGTGCATTAGCTCTGCTGTTCATAACTTCTGAACATAGGTTCATTCATAGCAGTCGATTTCCATTATGCAACCACAGTTCAAAAGAATTGATTCTTCTAACATTCATTTCTTAATCTATTTCACTTGTGTTTAACACTCTCCCTAAATATCATATGTTAAAAAATTCTGTTAGGTATGAGAGGACGGTATTGTCAGGAAAAGTTCATATAGATGGACACTGGGGATTTGAAATCTTGGGATAAATCCAAAGTCACAAAGGCTCAAACTTTGCAAGAATTAACATTAAAAGCTAAAGCTACTAGTCATACACAGTTCCAGTAGTTGGATGACCAGTAGGATAAGAGGGACAGAACAGTACGTTTTTATAAACACACAAGTCTAGAGTGCACAGTCTGACCTTTCATCCCTTCCTGTCTGCAGCACTACTAAATGTGGCACAGACTAAGCATCCTACACAGGGTGCTGCTTGAAAAGTGCCCTGCATAAGGAATGATCTTTTCAGGATTGGCTACAGCATTCCTAGGGTTTCTTTGGGAAGAGACAACAAGGGAGTCCTGTGCAGAAGCATGTCCATGTGTGTAAGTGCTGCTCTGAAAAATGGCTCCGTAAGAAAAAAAAAGAAAAAGTATAATTAAGATATAGACAGATTAGAAAGAACTGGAAAATTCATAAAGGGAGCTATTTTGGAAAAGGCAAGCATTGGCAATTGCCAACTAGAGTAGGACTGAGTTTACAGGTAGAAATGAATCATGATTTGCTGTGAAGCCATGAAGAATCTTATCCAAATGGAAAGGCAGAAGGATATGTGGCAGACACTGCATTCAGACCAAATTGATGTACACAGCAATCAGAGTGATATAAGAAGAAGATGAGTATTAAAAATATTGGCCAAGCCCATACATTGCTTCATCTTGATAGCTGTAACTATTTCTTTGCTCCTCTCATGCAATGCTGACATCTTTTCTTTGTTTTTGTTTTGCTTTGCTTTTACTTTCAGCCCCCCCTCTCTCTCTCCTTTTTTTTTTTTTGGAAAACACAACTCAGCCATCCTAACTTGCTTGCAGGTCCCCTTCTCTGTTCCAAACTGATGCATTTCATTGAAATCCTTTTCAAATCCTTTTCTTCTGCTTAACCACATACAAGTATTAGCAAGTCCTCCATAGCCAGTGCTAGCCTTGTCACCAGTCCTCTGCTCCTCCCCACAGCACCTGCTTCTTTCTTTGGCTGTTCTGTTCCAGGACATATCTACAATGCCACTCACTGCTCCTTCTTCTGAGTTTATACAAACAATATGTTCACCAACCAAGATGAGGCACAGTGATTTATTCCATTGCCTGACCACTGCCATCAAACAGGTCAGAAAATCACAAAGTAAGAAAGAGCAAGCTCCAGCTTTTCACAGCTGCATTATTCCTCATCCCTGAGCTAGGCAATCTAAGGCTGTCTCTCATGCCCTTTACACTGCTGTCTTGGCAAGGAAAAATGCTTCATACCAACATGAATGTCAGAAGTATA